CCGTGGAGTACGGGAAACTTGAAAAATATTTTTTATTGCACAACGTAGAAAAATTTCTGTTTGCTAGTTTCTCTTCAGAATATTATACGATATTGTACGTAGGCAAACTCCTTCAGATCATTAGAATAAATATCTGGTATATCCTTCGAATATCTCGGTATATCACATGGTGTAACAAAATGACGGAAGTGTTTGCAAGTATTATATCGTAGCTTTCAATTCAGTTGGGAACTGCAACGAATTTTGATCTCTTGTTCACGGAGATTATTAACAGGGCCTGCGTGAAATTAACAGGCTCGCGAACGACAGTCAACCAGAGAGATATAGATAGATAGATTTTCTACTTTGTGTTTCGTCATACAAACGGAACGTGAGATTCTCTCGAAGTAAACGGCAGCAGACTTTGATTTCTATAATGACTATTATATAATACGACTTCTGCAATTATCTGTAATAACTTCAAAGGAACAATATATCTACATCAACTGCGCAGCAGCAATCTATATTTAATACTTGGTCAACTCGTAATACCGTTAAATACAATTCCCCCCCCCCTCTCCCGTATAAATTTAAGTTCAACTACTCCGGAAAATTGGCGAGTTGTTATTGGAGTGTATGTAATCTCCACTCGAAACGAGATTTTTATCGAAATATACGTTAAGAAAAAGAAACAAGAAAAAAAAAAAAAAATAGAACGCTTGCAATAGAGTGTATCGTCCAACTCTTGAAAAACGTAGCAAGTCAATCCTTTATAATCAGAATTTCGTTTACGTATAAAGGCGAGAGACCACCCATCGGTTAAATTACACCTATTTACTTTAACTGAAAATGTGACAATTGATAATTACAACGAGTATCGTAGAACAACTGAAGTAACACTGCGATACCTTTTATCGTGTTTTAAGGAGTTAAACCGATACTCGATTTATCTCCGCGATATATCTTATTGCTCCGGCGAGACTCTTACGTTTTCGCAGAAAAAAGAAAAAGAAAAAAACACGGTTGCATAATGGCGTGCAACACTGTTTCAAAGCGTTTGCAATTCTCGATCAACGTCTCTCTTAACAGGGAAGAGTAATGGAGGACAAGCGAAAAGTATGCGATTCGACTGTAAACGATCAGCTTGGTTGCGAGATCAAGACTGAAAGAGGCGAAAGAAGTCTGGATGGGAGAGGGAGGTCCTAACAAAACTAAATTTCACGGCACCTTGTGCAACTTCTCCGCGGTTAAGACTATATCCGGTCACATAATAGGCAAACATTTTCAGCCAAAGGAGAGTGGCGGACGCGTGAACGCTTCGTGTTGTTTGCCCCGTTTGCTCGAACGCCTGGCGCGAAAAAGAATGATTCCTCCGATCTTATATAAGTACCGGTGCAGCTTGCGTCAATGATTCTACCAGCCTCTAGATTACGTAATGACCGTTCGAAATTCAATTTGTCGTGCCTGTTCGATTCGTTCGAACTCGTCTGGCGAATTCCAATCCAGAATCGGCCTGGCCGCGATCGTCCGCGCAGACCAGCCCGGAGATTAATCTCTTGCGGTCTGACGTTGTAATTTAGAACGATCTATAGAACGATCTATTATGCCAGGATCGCTGGAGCAGAGGTCGCGATCGGAAGGCTCTTGTGAATTTGAAACTCGCTGTTGCGAAATTCGATTTGGTTTGATCGCAGGATCGTTCGGTATATTTTCAATCGTAGAAGTTTTGTGTTAGGTATAATTTTCACGTCGATATTAACGACACAGGAACGTTATTACGTCAAACGGTATACGTAAAATGTATCGTAACGTGCTTTTTTAAAATTGACAAGAGTCACTGAGTGAATAAAAATATTGCAGTATTTGCCTAAGTGAGGTAGATGCTGTTTTTCGAAACTGAAAACTACACTTGGAAGTTCTTCTAAAACACTTCTTGAAGAATATCTAATCTCTTGAAGTGGAATTTCAAAAATTGGAACGAAGTATCGAGGTGAAAGAAACGAGCTATTAGAAACAAAGAAAAGATGCTCGACCGTCAAAAAGGTTGAAATCTTGGTTACATGAAGAAAATTTTCCATTTCAATGCCAGGCTAATTAGCACAGTGTCAACTCTAGATAATTTTAATGTCTTCGAAGTTACAATCACTCTGCGTCAACATTATGATAAACATTCAGAAGGTTAAGAAAATTTACTTCCTGTTATATTATACAACATGCCGTATACATTTATACGCAAATAGTTGATATATAAAAAGAACCATGTATGGTTTCATATTTATCTTTATATCTTTCGAAAGTATCTTTCTAAAATATCTTTATTTTTAAAAGGATGCATGTATCGTATATATGAAATCTGTATCTTTTTTCTTTCATCGTTCTCTCACTCAATGCTACATTGTTTCAATTGCAACAATTGTATTGTATTAGAATTAGTATTTCACTTTGTCCAATCAAATCTTTATCTACTAGCTCTAGTTTTAATGCTATATTGATTCAGTCGCATAGAATCACTTATCATATAACAAAAAAAAAAAAAAAAATAGTATTTTCTAAATAAATATACCACGGATTTTCAGATATTTGAAAAATTATACAAATTATAAAAATTTTACAAGTTAAGATATATGAAAAATTATACAAAGTTATGTGTAAAACTATTGTAAACATTTTGCTAGCAGTACAATAATAATTATTAACATTAAAAAGAAACTAACCGAGAACTGAACATAAATCTTCCGATTTTTGTCTGTTTAGCTGTAAAGAACATACTCGTATCCAAAGCGCCTCTTACTACAGATAAAACAAACTTCTGTTTAGATTTGGTTTGTACAAGTGTGTTTAGTCACGAATCCATGGGGAAGAAAACGCTGGAAAATCCGTAAAAAATCCTGACTCCGCAGCTGCAGT